TCCAGAATTAAAGGTATATGTAGAGTTCTTTATCTATTTGCCGAATTTCTTTTATTATGCGACATGTAATCTGTTGTAAACTGCATTTTCCTGTATAAACTTGTGATGCTCCTGAGGATAAAACTTTTTATAGTCGGTTAAAAAGCTCTACAAGGCTTAAATGTTATATTGTTAAATTGTATTGCATGTATATATAATGCCGATATTAGATTAAAAAAAAATTATTTACAGAAATTACAATGATATTGCATTACTAGCAGAGTTGGAAAAATGTGCCGGATTACCGACATTTGCCGGTAGATTTCATACATGTCCGGCAAAAGTTGAAACCATGCCGCACATCGTATCCGGTAAATTTTGAAACACCACTACCTAGAGAAATTAAAGTTATTCCCGTGTTTTAGGAAAAATATCACTGGAAAAAAAAATCCACTGGAACTTTTACGGCATTGTATTGCTTTTATCGTTCAGACAAGGATTGAAAATATTGATGAAATTGCATAATTTCAAATCAGAATGCATCAGTTTACATTTTCTAGAATCAAGACAAATGAAAAATCTGTTTAAAAAATATTTTCTTCGAATTTTCAGTAATAAATTGGTTAAACAATTGATAGAGGCCAAAATGGCGCGAAACTCAGAATGATGATGGAACGTCATAGTCGTGCCGTTTTACTTATGACGTAATGAGTTAACGGTAGGCCCAAAAAAGGCCCTTGGCACTCAACGTAGTTTTTGAAAAAAGGCCCAAAATAGGCCCACGGCACAAAGAATGTTAATGAAAGCGCTAAAGCTTTACGGAGGATTCTTGTGTTTTCTTTTTATATTTGTTTAATATTGTAATCCGATTACTGAGACTTTATTTCAATTTTGGATATATATATATATATATATATATATATATATATATATATATATATTTTAGGAATGACTCTAATTCTTGGCCAAATTATTCGAGTATAACCTGGTTTGGGTCAGTTTACGCTTTATAATCCGCGAAGCGGATTATAAAACAGCGTAAACTGACCCAAACCAGGTTATACTCGAATAATTTGGCCAAGAATTAGAGTCATTCCTTATAATTTAATTTTAAAATCATTAAATAACTATGGGTGTAAAATTTCGTTGCTTTTCATCAGTTCAAATTTGCCGCTCAATAATACAACCGTAGTAACGGAAGTAAGGGAAGTGATGGGAAGCAAGGGGAGGTAAAAACTGATACATAGGCCTAGCAGCCTTGTTGTTTGTTTACATGTGGTAAGATCGAATTATTGTTTGAAGTTAAGGGTACATTTATTAAATCTGGAATTTTCCATGAATCCCGAGGACTGGAAATGAGAGGATTGATTCAGCTGGTTGTCAGGGGGGTGTGTCCCCATACCAAACCAGGTTATACAGAAATAGTTTGTGTTCCTTTTTGGATATTAACCAATCAGAGGCTAGAATACAAACAAAATTAAATTATATATATATATATATATATATATATATATATATATATATATATATATATATATATATATATATATATATATATATATATATCTGAGAGCCTTGAGAAATCGGCCCATTACATTATGTGAAAGTAATATTAATTTATCCAATGAAATCTCAATTTAGAGGTCAGTTTTATTTAAAAATACGAAAAACTAATGCTGAATTGCACAATATCAGGGCAAACAAGAGAAAAACTTTGTACTTTGCATTAAAGCGACACCGTGATGCACAAACGGGAAAATTGACAAAAATAGAATTTTTGTATGAAACGCACTAATTTTGCTCAGTTCCTAAAAGTATGAGGTTTCAGAAAATTACAGGTTTCGGAACCTAAAATGTCTACTTTTATGGCCCAAGACGAAAATGTTGCTTCACTTCTTCCTCTTTATTGTGCGCGTGTGCAGAAAAGTTGAAGTCACCATGGTCTCAAGTCCCAAAAATTGAGTGTTGGTAGACCAATAATTTTCATATAGTCTTCAAAAAAGATTATCAGAACATACATGTAATTCTCACCTTTGCATGCTCCAATTCAGTGTTGTTTACAACTTTACGCTAAAAATAAAAGTGGCGTGACCATGACATGCATGATAACAACGACACGGTAGATACGACCTTTGTTTTTCCTGTACTTTATATTTTGCAGTCTTGTCTTGCTTTAGAGAGCAGTTGAGTTTGTCAAATCTTTGCTATACTCATATTTTTCATAAATCTTTTGCTTTTAATATGATACAAATCTTAAAAGAAACACATGGTTTGACTCATTAAGTAACTTTAGGTAAATCCAAAAATTTACTGGAATCTAGCTGAAAATGAGCTGCAAAATTAACATTCTTCAGTGTACATGAACAGACTCTACAGAGCCATCCACTGTTACATACAAGTGGTTTAATCATATCAAAATTTCAAATCACTATGATGCATCATTTTTTGTACACGATCTAAAGGAGCCAGTGGCTTCCATTGAAAAGACCTTGTGTGTTAATGCATTAGTAGAAGACTATCTATGTTATAAACTTGTGTCTAATCCTTTTGTTTTAAAATAAAGTAAGGCACCATGATTACAGGATTAGAAAATGTTTTATCAATATATGAATAAATGTGGTCATAATGCATTTCTGTTATGTCCGCAGCAGATTTTCAATGCCTGCTTGTCTTATATGTTACTAACAACGTCTTTAACACAGGGGTAAACGACTCTCATTACCGTCTTCCATAATTATTCTAATGAAACAAACAAATACCGTGGTATCACAAGTTCCAGTGCTTTCAAGGTACTTTTCAATCAGTATCTTGAACATCAGATTGGATTCATTTCTAGATAAATAAAATAATTAAATTAATACTAATCAATATGATTTGAAAATATTCTTTATAATATTAAAAATTTCAATAAACTTTTTTCCTGATATGAAATATATTATGATATAGAGTTATTGATCTTATATTGGTGAATATTGGCACGAGTTGGCTGTACAAATGCACGAGCTTGCGAGTGCATTTGTACAGCCAACGAGGGCCAATATTCACCAATATAAGTTCAATAACTCCTTTATTATACAAAAAAAACATATATATATATATATAATAATTATCTAAGTTAAACAACTCAAAATTAATGAGAATTTTTCAGTATTAGTATTTAAATTTAAACAGTGTATTATCAGCGTCTGTCTGGAAGTGTTCAATATCGCATCATTTCAATGACCCTACACGGCGTCATGATTTGCTTTTTGAGATTTTATTGAGGCTTATAGGTATTAAATTATTAATTAATAGTTTCAATCTTGTGTGAAAATAGACACATCTTACCTAAATGCAACTACCCATCATAAAAGTTTCCTTTGAGCGGTTGACAAGACAACATTTATTTTTTATAACAACAGGGCGTTCGATATGGAACGCTCGCATTCGGGAAGTTACGGGGCATATACATGTACGTATTGCAAACTCAGCGTTCAATAAAACGTCAAGATATTGAACGCTAAAATTCTTAAGAATTTTAGTAGTTTTTTTTTTTTATTATTTTAGAACATTTATTAGCTATATAATCTATACTTATAAATTAATAAAGTTTGCAAATAAACTCCGAAACGGGTGCACCAGAGTTCTTTCTAACTCCTTTATGAATACACTAGATGCAAGATGATGTCCGTAAACTATATTCAGATTTCACTCGCTTAGTAAGTATCGTACTTTAAATTAAAAGTCTACTTTCATTTTCTATTAAAAGCCATGAAATAGCAAAAACGTGAGTATGGTGGCGGTTCCGGTTGGCGGATCTAAGTTACTGGCAATTCTTAATGAAACTGACAACAAGCAATCGTTCATTTATTTTATAAAACGTCATCACTTAATTATTTAATCAAAACTTGATTTAAATGATATTAAAGAAATAAGTTGTGATAAACGATTAAAAAGGGAAATGTGCAAAATATTTTCGTCCTTCACCGATCTTAATATTGACGGAAAATTCTAGAACATCATATAGTATCGAGCCCGATGTTAAAAAGAAAAACGAGGCGATTATAGCTGCATCAACATAAAAAAGTTTTTGTGTGAATGGTCATTGAAATAATGGTAAATCATTGATAACACTATAAGCTGTAAATATATTTATATATCGAAAGACTATTATTAGGTTTTCGTAATAAATTTATCTGTAAAATTTGTATATTCCTCACTGGGAGCTGAGTGGCAACGAACCCGAAGTACAATTTGTACTTCGTAATAAATTAGCTGACATGAAAAAAGGAAATGATTCAAATGAATGAATAAGGTATCAAATACAATTAAAGCTCTTAAAATTTTGTTCTTTAATCAAAACATTTTAGGGTTTTTTTTTCTTCCGAATACAGTCTTTTGTATCAAATACTCGGCCTATCCATAGGGCGTTAAAAGCTAATGTTTACCAAAAAAAAAAAAATCAAATAATAAAAATGTGCATGTTCGCTGGTTTTATCCCTGACGGAAATGAAAGAAGAACACCTGAAGTACAATATCCATAACATAGTATAACAGGTTTCACAATATAAACGTCAATTAATGAAATTTTTTTCCAGGTTTTTACAGGGGGGGGGGGGGCTACATCTACTTCTGCTCCAAAGCTAAATGCGGAATTTTGAACAAAGTATTTCTTCCTTCTATAAGCCTGCAGGCTGTCAGTAGAAACTACAATATATATTATTGGAATTTTTCTGTCGGTAGTGGTATAAATTCAATTCCCCGCGCTTGCGCGGGATTTCATCTAGTTACTATAAAACGAGTAATTCCTGATTTTGAGTTACCGGTATCTTGGCTTTTGTTACGAGATAGTAAAAAGGCATTCATCATCCTTGCTTTCCCCATAAGTAAACACTCATCATGAAAATCATTGGATTTATTGACTTTAATTCTAGCGTTCATAAATATTGAATTGGTAAATTGTTTGTTAATGATATGATTAGATGTGCCTTCATGAATTTCATCATTTACCCGGTATCCCAGTGTAAAGTGACAATATCACCATGTTTATGCCGTTCTTCTGGTTTCTGGTTTGTTTTATTGCTGTCGCCGGTTCAGATTTTGCGAATGCCTCTGGTGTAACATTCGCAGAATGCCAGGAAGCTCTTTGTGAAAAGAAAGAACCCAACTATCCAGCGCTAGAGACGCACTTTGTCATTTCTCGAATTGACTGCTTGGCCCGCTGCCTTGGTAACGACTTGTGTAACTTTGTTGGCCATTACGCTAACCTTTGCAAATTCTTTACCACACCGAACCTGGCCAATGACATGCGGCACTCTACCACGGAGTGGAAATTCTGGATAAGACGTAAGACATTATCTCATTTATAATTTCTAGTCCCATGATTATAATTTCATAGATATATTACTTTAATCCAATGATGAACATGCAGTTTTGTAATATTTTCTGTCAAAATTCTCATGTTATCGCCTACATACTTTAAACTATTTTTGCATGTATATTGTAATAATATTTTTATAAGGTTGCTTGGCAAATAAAGAAAAAAAAAGATACCAGATACATGTACTTGAAACACAGTTATACCGTTATTAGAAACTATTTTATTTTTTCTTCGGAATTTGCAAACGGAATTCAAGCCACTAATTTCTATGTATATGGATACAGATTCGATTAAAAGATTATCTAATACTTGAATACTTCGTTCATCAGTTGTTGGTTTGATGGGTATCTAGGGAGTGTCTCAGTTGAATCCTGTAATTTGTTGTAATTAATTCCACAGCTAAGTGATTACGGTTCTGCAACCAATCTGTCATATCTGCCAAAATAATCACTGTATTATTACTATCGTTTTGTTATTATTATTATTTCTGCCATGCATTGTAAAAAATCAAAATGTACTTATCAACCATTATTTTATTAGATGTATTTTTTTTATTTTTGATTTTGTTTAGATTTTGAAATGAGAGATGAAGGTTAAATTCGCTTGTGTTTACACGTATGATTCTGTTTCTCAGTATCAAACACGATCCTCTCCTGTAAATAAGAGATTGGGCTTATAACTTAAAAGAAATTAACGTACATTAGACTGAAACGCAAAAGAAACGCAACATCCTATTTTAGAGGGGAAATTTTTTTTAAAGGATATAATTTTGTATCTAAAAAGTACGGATATCTTCAACTTTGTAAGTATCGATAATTTAACGGTTGAATGATTTTCATGCCATAACCGGAAGTTAAGTTTGAGCCCGCTTAACAGAAATCAAAAATTGCATGTTTAACAAAACATTTGACAAAAATATGGGGTTTTAAGGGTTTGTATCTGTTTATCATAAGTAATGCAGCAATATTCCGCAAAATAAATTCTTTCGTTTCCGGAAGAGATGCCAAGGCTTCCCGAAAATGACTTACGTATGCATTTCAAATGCTCTAGCTGGAAAATCTGAAAATAAAGGTGATGGAGAATTGCAGATGCAAAAATGGACAACAACACGCCTCAACAGGCTCATACGTATGTATTTGCATGAATGATAGTCCGTGGACCGCAAGTCCAAGTGTTACTACACTGCGCTAGGTTAGAGAAAATTCGACTTCGTCATCTGAAAAACGGACATTTAAAAATGGCAAAGAATATTTTTTTCGCTCAGATCTCGAGATTGAAGAACCTATTGCATCGTGGAAATCAAGCTGCAATTGTTGTGCATGACAGTCTTCCACGCTTATAATTCAATGGCTGAGAAGAGGGGTGTTTTAACAGCCATGTGTTACTTTCTAAAGTTAAAAGATAATCATTTAACATTGTTATCAAATCTCTGATGTTTTTAAATCGAGTTTAACTCAACTGTAATCAGTTTTGAAAATCATTAGTTAAAAGGTTCAAATATCTGTAGATTACTGTTTGTTGCGTTTCTTTTGCGTTTCAGTATACTTTTTCTGGGGGTTTATTCCCTGAACGTCTACTCATTAAAACAACTACTTAATTATCACACTCAATTAAGAGGCCCTCTAAGGGGTCCAGGTAGATTTTACCTGTGTTACCTTGATTTAACAAAGTAGTCAAAATTAAACAATTTAATATTTACTGATAAAATTGTGTCTTAAAACACAGATTTATTGATTAAATACTTGCTATAATTGAAGGCCCTGAACAAATATTTTTTCATATACATGTAATAAATATTTTTATTTAAAATACATTCAAAATTCGAAAAAGATACATAATTGCACAAGACATGTAAATTAACAGATAACATGTTTATGAATTATTTTTAAACATTACTTTTTTAACATAACACTTGGCACTTGAAGCATTACTTACATCACATCTTAAGCTTTATTTAATCTATATCAAATATGGGGAACTTTTTTCACATTGCATTTGCAGACCCATAGAACGAGGGGGGGGGGGCATTTTTCTGAGTATAGACTTTTCCTGTAGTATATATATATTTTTTTTTCTAGATTTAATATGTAAATTTTCATTAGATGCTGCCCCCTTACTTTCTGTTGCTGTAAGGTCGAGCGCTGGCGAATTCCAACACTTGAAAAAAAAAAATCTACAAACAGTTAGAGTCCATCCCTACCATATACAAACACACAAAATAGGATTTTTAATGTTTTTTTATTATTATTATTTTAATTTTGCTTGTCATATTTCTTTGGGAGGTCGACCCTTCCCCCACTGTTTAAACCATAGTTACCTCTTTGTTTGGAAGCAATATCTAAAGTTAGCACCGTTTTGTTTACATCAAATTCAGACACGTAGTATCGTTTTTGAAAGAAGAAGGGGGGGGGGGAGAAAATTTTTTGACAACTTACGTTTAAAAATATTGTCCAAAACCCAACTTTCTTTTGGGGGTGTTAAAATTCAAAATAAAGGGGGTTTTTTTCTTTCAAAAAATCGTATCTTACGCTTCTTGATAAATTTGTACCAAAATAATTTATAATTTATAAAATAATTAATTGAGATTTGAGTTTTATGATGCAAACTAACAAAGATTTTGAAATTATTCATTGTTATAATATTTAAAATTTATGCTCTGAAACAGTGATTAAAACTAAATTAAAAAGTATCTAAAGCAAAATTCATTTAACTCTTAATAAGATATATTGAAAAGAAAAATGAAATATGATCGATAGATTTTTCCTGTTATAGAAAGAATGCTACTTACATGTTTACCGAAATTTCATTTAATCGATCTTTAAGACATCTCCTCTGAAATATGGCTTAAGTATGGAAAGATTGATATTAACTTTAATTTTTATGATTTTTTTTTTTTTGGGGGGGGGGGAGGTGGAGATAATGAAAAGATTGTTTTAATTGCAAATAAGATCCTTTAGTGTTTAAAGTTTACCGTAAATAAATGCACAATATAAATATCTAATAAAACATGTCAAGAAAAGTCAGATAAGCTTATTTTGTTTTTGCTAATAAATTATTTATGGAAACAAAACACATTATTTTTAGCATTTTTTTAAAGCAATGGATAAAATCTTCAAGATTTTTACATTTCCTCTGAAAAAAATAATGTAAAATAATTGATATATTTTATCAATCTTTCCATGCTGAAACCATTTTTTCCAGAAGAGATGCCTTAAAGATCCCCAAATTAATGTTGCTGTAGAATTCCTCCTTCAATAAATACAGGTATAAATGATTGTAGACTCTACCTGTACCCCTTAGAGGGCCCCTTAATTGAGTGTGATAATTAGATGTTGGTTTAGTCCAGTAGACGTTCAGGGAACACACCTTTCTGGTTGTTCGTGTTGGTGATAATTGATTCAATTAGGCATTTTGCATGATTACATCAAAGAACATCAAAACAATTGAAAAAAAAAAAAAATAGTTTCATTGCATGAGCTCTGCCACAATTGACGAAAATTGAGATAATACTTATATGGATGATATTTATCGTCATGATTATATGCTAGCAATACTAGTTGTTAATAAATTTTCAATTTTCGTCGTTTTGTTAATGAACATTGTACAGGGTGAATAAATTAATAAATTAATATTCTTAATAAATATCATATACGATTGAATATTTAATGACATAATCACTAATCATCATTACATTATCTTCATCATCATTTTCATCTATAAAGCATAGTAAATTACAGTCGTTTGGAATTTATTATGTTTTCATCCATAAAATATCTCATTCATATTCATGGGGCTGAATGCTCATTGGTGGATTTAGGAGTGTGAAAGGTCAAAGGTGTTTGTGTCAGAATGGGTGAGGCTTGGAGTTGTATGATTGGGTGATATTTTAGAGTGAGGAGTGTGCGAGTCGTTTTATTAGTTTGGTATTAGGTGCGCATGCTTGGCGCCAAATACCCTTACTAATTCACTCCACCCTAGGACAGCCAGGAGTAAGGTAGAATTCCTCTCCTTCTCCATAAGGTTTCTCATTTAATAATGTGGACAATTTAACTGTCTATTCGGTAAGAAATTTTACCACCGTTGCTCTAGATAAATTAGATATATTATAAAATAATTATCTACTTAAAGATAATTATATCAGAAAAGTTAAAATATATTAAATAATTTAACACTGTTTAATGTGTGAGTGTATAGGTATGAGAGTGTATTCATTTATTTTCATTACTGTTATTGTTACAGGTCACCTTTTAAATCTTACCATGTAATTGAAATATACATCGAACCCAACAGCTGTTTGCCTTGTTATCATTATAAAGGAGTATCAAATAAATACGGCTGAGGCAATGGCGCCCAACGTACAAATACCCACTATTCCCTAGGAACATGCATTACAGCATTTCCTTAACTCCTAGAATTCGAGGACGAATTTCTACGAAGAGGGGGAATATGTCACCGGGTTAACAGGTGCGTGAAAGTCAGTCAATATTTCGGGTCTCAATAGCTCAGTAGTTACTAGAGCGCTAGCACGGTACGCCAGATGCCCTGGGTTCGAGTCCCGGTTGAACTTGATTTTTCACCACCTGTGACAACATGAACATTTAGGGATAACAACATGAGAATTAAGCTTAAGTATGGGGGTTTAAATATTTTGCACTTGATTTGCTTTTGTCGTCAAATGTTAAATATTCTGGACATCAGTATTTCAATATGCAATGTAGCTCACACTGTTATAGATATGTTTTACTGTTGTACCAGTTTGAATTCCACTAAAGCTCAATATTTGCTTCTGGCACTACGGGGATCGGTATATCTTGGTATCTGTTTAAAATTTTCTTAAAGCACATTCTCTTTGTACCCATTACAGTTGAAAGTTCAATGATAAATTCACTCATTTTTATGTCCATCTAAAATCACAATTATTAGTGGGTTTTCTAATCAGCTTCATGGATATCTAAAATCCATAAATGTCTAGCACGAAAAATAGGCACTTTGTCACGTCTAGAAAAAAGAACCCTTCTGTTTTATTCAAGGTTGTAAATCGTTGCACATGATGTCTTTGGAAATGGTAACAAGTTAAATGTGCACAATTTGAATTATGATTATAGTCCTTTGTCGAGTAATGTTAATTAAACGTTATTGTGATTGACTTCCTAGCCTGGTTCCCTATCCCTATTATGCTTCGTATACTCCGCGACACTTGCCTTGGCAAGGATGAGCCAGGGAACCAGGCTAATTGAATTATGTGCATGGCGCTTATTATCAACTTCCGGTGTAAACTATGTGCGTTTCCCATCGTGTTTCCCGTTCCTTGGTACAATTCATTATTTCAAGGAGGACAACCTCTATGGTCTTAATAATATTTAAGCTAAATATTTTTGTATACATTTCAGTATTTTTTTCTTTTATGGCAAGATAGATACATGAAGCTGTAGTCAGCCAAGCATTTTGGAAATATATGAGGCGCCGTTTTGGTATTTACTGCCAAAAAGTGATATCACCTATTCGAATAAGTGATATCACCTATTCGAATAGGTGATATCACCTATTCGAATAGGTGATATCACTCATTCAAATTGAATAGGTGATATCACCTATTCGAATAGGTGATATCACTTATTCGAATAGGTGATATCACATATTCGAATAGGTGATATCACTTTTTGACAGTAAATACCAAAACGGCGCCTCATAGAAATAGGTAGTGGTAAAATATTAAATTTTCACAATGTCGAAAAGTACATCTAAATTCTGATATTTTCAATATTAAGGGATATATACATAACTTTAAAAGAGTAGGTTCAGTAGAAACTAAACATTTCCCCATATTTCCCATATAAAATGCATGCTCAGTAGCACGAAAGACCCATGAGCTACATCGCTTACCTGAGTCACGATGGCCCTGCTGTTCTTCATCAGCAGAATTTTTCCCTTTATTTTCAAATAATATTTGAATGATAACATATTGTGTCACCGCCCTACCCCGGGGGTTATGAATTGAAAAAAAAAATGAATTTATTCTACCAGAGGATGCTTCCATAACAATATGACTAAGATTTTTCCTATATATGCCTATGTAAAACTTTGATCGCCCATTGTGGCCCCACCCCACCCGGGGTGATGATTAAACAAACTTGAACCTACACTACCTGAGGATGCTTCCATATAAATATGACTTACACTGTACCATGACATTGCTGTTCTTGAGATTTTTCCAATATATTTCTTTGTAAAACTTTGATTACCCATTGTGACCCAACCCTACCCACGGGGATCATGATTTGCATAATCTCGAATCAACACTACCTGAAGATGCTTCCGTATATACAAGTGATTAATCATGGCTTTACTGTTCTAGAAAAATTTTTTTTTAAAAGATTTGTCCTATATATTCCTTTTTTAAAACATTGATCCCCATTTGGGTCCTTCCATATGCTTCCATATTCCTTTGTGTTATATGACACTTTTAAGTCTCAGCTATGGTTGCAGAGGCGTTTGAAGTGTTAAGGTCAAGTTCACCACTACATTCCTCCTTTTTAATGATAGAGTACGATGATTACTTACTGTTACTCAATGTACCACCTTTCTTTCTGACGTTTATAAAGCTACAAAATTTCCTAACAAATCACTATAATATTTTGTAGCTAATCTTTGTGACAGTAACCCGTGCTTAAATTTTTCGACTTGCCAACAACGTCGAGATTTCTACAAATGTTTGTGTGGCATACAATATGGTGGAACACGATGTGAAGAGAAAGGTATTTTGATCTATTACAGCTGAAGACATATTCAAGTACAGTATAGTTACATATATAATACAAAATGGGACGATCTCACCAAGTGTCATGAACTGTTACATAGCATTTCAAAAAATATTCTAGAAAATGTTATTTCATCAGCAGAAAACGATAATTCTGTTTCTTATTCTTTCTATATTAGCGTGTTTACATTTTATTTTATTTCAGTGAGTTGCACATCTGCTCCCTGCCATAATAATGCCTCCTGTGTAGTTATGACCGGTGATGGTGATTTTGAATGTATTTGTTTAACTGGGTACACAGGAGAACTATGTGAATCTACAATATAAACCATCTCCACGCATACAAGAAATATCAAAGTACAATAATAAAAAACGGCTTCATGTTTTTAACAAATGTTTTATATATTATTTGTAACTGAGTATTTTATACTGAGTACTGTAAACAGTCTTAATTCCGCGGAAACACAACTTCCGTTCAATCGCAGGTAGAAAATAGCACAGATTTCTTGGATTGCCATTGTTTTGCCTTAAATGAACTTAAAGTACGCCGTGAACAATTTCAAAACATAGTGGATGCAATTAAAATTAAAAAATGATGTGTTTCTGAAAGACTGATACCCCGTATGGCAGCTCATGGCGAAGATGAAAGTGTCTCAAATACAAGTCAATCTCCAAGGTCAAGGTCAAGAAATAAACAACGTTGGTACTCAAAGAAAGATATTGTCACAAGGAATACATCTGTGAAATATGAAGGCTCTTGCAGCAATCATTCAAAATTAGGATCAAGGTTAAAGTTTTTTAAAGTAGGTAAAACTCGAAGTTCAAGGTCACGATGTAAAAAAAAATTCGTACTTAAGAAAATGTCTTGTCACAAGGAATACATCTGGGAAATATGAAATCCCTACCACCAAGCGTTCAAAAGTTATGGCTAGGTTAAGAGTTTTTTAAATGTAAGTCAAACTCCAAAGTCATAGTTAGAGGGTCAAAATTGTTAGTACCTTAAAAAAGTTCTTGACACAAGGAAAATACACGTGAAATATGAAAGCTCTAGCTTCAACCATTCAGGCCAAGGCTGAATTTTGTTCAATAGATCAACGCCAAGGTCAAGGTCAAAAATATTTGTACCCAAGGAAAAGTCTTATCAAAAGAAAAACAGATGTGAAGTATGAAAGCCTTAGCACCAACCATTCAAAAGTTATGGTCAAGTTTAAAGTTTAAATATTTTTCAATATCTGAATAAAATTAAAGCACATTCTTTCACTTAGGATATTTTTTAATTAATAGCCATTATAATGCTTGAAAGTCTGTAATCGTTTTGAAGTTGCAAATGCAATACATGTAATTATTATTTGTTACCCAAATCCTAAATGACACGTTTTGGTAATTAATCTAAAAGAAATAATTGTGTTGTAGAAGTCATAGCAACATAATCTAAATAAGAATAATAGCATATTTAAAATGAATACAGGGCAAAGATTCTGTTAAATTTCGAACAATACATTAAGTTGAAAATGAAATAATTTTTTAGTATCAATACGAGGGTTGTCCAGTAAAATCGTGAACAAGTAGTCTAGAGTGAAAAATAATCAACACTGCTTTCTTAAATTTTCCCTTTTCTTTGGTACATTCTTCATCAATATATTTTTCATCAATATACATAGCAAATTTCAAAGAGTTATATGCACCGATAAACAAAATATGGGATTGTATGTTACGTGTGATATTGCCTTACAGTGCAAGGATGATAACTACAAAATTTCTAAAGCAACGTCACGTTTCATCTTTGCTTAAAAAAGTTGGAAAAGCCCTACTTAAATTCCGGAAATTTTAGTGACATACACACTCGAGTTCCCCTTGATTCCTCCATTAACAGTCGAGGAACCAAGTGATAGTGAATTAAAAAACATGATAATTTTTACCCCAACTTTGTCTGTCTAATACTTTTATTGCGAAATAATACTCACACATTCCCTGTTAAAACCCTGATTTTTTGGTTCGTGCGGCATAGGACCATACCCTGTGCACATTTAAGTATAATAGAATCCTTATTTCTGCCTAGTATATTCTATTAAAAATATTAAGATGTATTCCAATGTGATTAATAAACATGTGATGAAAATTTCAACTCAGTGCATGCATTATTTTTCAGTTTAAACGCGGTGTCCATGATTTTACCGGACAACCCTAGTATATATGCCATTCCATTTGTTCAAACAAAATGCGTTTTCAATTACCTGTATTTTTAAGGGTATTCTTGAATCTAGAACTACGTTTCTCAAAAAGATTCTCAAAATCTGTTTTAGATTAATAATTTAAGTCCATAATTGTAATATATAAGACGCTATATCGTTTCGAACTGCAATTTTCTTTTCAAATCACTTCTCAACCTCTCTTAGAGTTCCCAGAAGTAAATCATTTTCAAAGAAAACTAAAAATTCTGATATCCTGAAGAGATATACATTTGTAATCTTCGAGTAAGTCCATTTTGTGTGTTGCCTGCAAAGCAAAGCAGAGCGACACTTAGGGATTACTTTTGAAGTTGACCTTTGACTTACTTTAAAAAATAGTTCATAGAGCTGGTATACAACTTATTTTTGACAATTAAGAGGTAAGCTGTGCTTTTAGCATGTGCACTGACTGTCATAAGATATCCTTAAAAAATACCAGCGTTAAATTCCACTTGACCTTGACTTTTGACCTCCATGGCAAAAATACTTCGATCGATTAAATTAAAACCAAGTCTTGTGTTTTGAATTTAACGAGAGGCAGAGTTTAGATAACTAGCATATATATTAATGAAGGCAAATGATTGATTGACTGATTGTATGTTGTTTTACGTCCCGTTCGAGAATTTTTCATTCATACAGAGAAGTCACCATATACCGGTGAAGGGATTAAACTTAGACCTTTACTCAAGGCCATTGGGCAGTGAGGGTTTTTTATCGTGCCAACGCGTACCCATCAGAAGAACCTGCAACCTTCACTTTTAAGTGCCGAGCGCTTGACGAAGGAAACAGTTGCAACCTATTTTTATCGACTTAGTCTGGGCCATGATTCGAACACACGACCTTCCGATCACGGAGCGAGCGCTCTACCGACTGAGCTACCGTGACGACGCTGAAGGTAAATGCATGAACTATGATACCAGTGGCTGATCACTCTTAGAATTACTTACATCTTTAATGATGATATAAAGCAAAGCAGGCGACACGTGCGTTCCTTGGAACACTCTAGTTTTTAAACATTTGGCTGATATATGCATAAATCAACAACACAAATTATCATAAGCTGTTCCTCATGTAACAGGTTCGTGATAAGTACTGTGTTACCATTACAGCATTATTTTTGTTAACTTGTAAGATCGTCTAAAGTAATTATTGGAATCTAGATGTAGACAATGTTCAGTGTATTCGTCACCAAATTTGATGCTACATTGTTATTTATACTGAAAGTAAAAAGAAATGCATACCGAAATGCAAAAGGTTACATTCTTTTTACTACACAGTGATAGCCAAATACAATTATACTTTAAATATCTAATATCTAAATCATAATTGTCTTGTATTAAGGCATGATAACGAATCATTTTAACATATCAGTTATTAACTATAGGGAGTAGGGGTCTGAAATGTAGAATTCAAAGTTTCTGAAGTCAATATCGCGTGTGTCCTCCTCCTGCATTTACTACGTGTATTCCCTTGTGCATGGAGTTACTAGTAATCAGGAGATTGATTCTTCTTATTTGGATGTTATTCGATTCTTCTGTAAGTGCTTGTCTCAGCTCGAATGTTGATCCCAAATTCGTTGATCCATCTTTTTCTTGGGTAGTAGGGACACATCAATCATGTTCAACAAGTGCACGTATGTATGATGTAGTACTTCAACATGTATCACGTAAATTTCTATTTGATAAATGCAATTATTATATACTAGTAGTAAATACATCCATTCTGGACTGCGACAATGTGACCTCACAGTACCTCATATCAACGATTGGTCCAAAAACTTATGTCTCGTATCAGACCGGCTTGCAAAAATCCATAGCAAACCGGAAGTAAACATTTTAATAACATTTAAAAGTTAATTTACTCGATTGTATTGAAATATATGTGTAAAACAATTCATGTACTAAAATTTGTTAACTTGATTTGTTTTAAAATGACCCAAAATTGGATGTATTAGCTTTTAAAGAAAAACGTCAAAAGCACGAAACATTCTTAATTGTCTATAAGTGGGCTATCATAATAAATGTTTTAAATAATATTTTAATAATTGATATCATAATTTGAATACTACCTACTAACATCCATATCATATCATATCATATCAGCCCTTGGGCCCCATTTCAGCCTGAGGACTGAAGGTCCGAGAGCTAAAATGGGGCCACTCGGGCTGACATATGATATGGATTTTAGTATGTAATGTTCTCTATTTATTATTATACAGGATTTTTGCATCCTTGATATGAACATTGACATGTACCCTTTGTTATACACCCTGTATCATCACCCTTTATTAGCTTTATTAGTCTTTTTTAGCTCACCTGACCTGAAAGCTCAAGTGAGCTTTTCTGATCACCCGTTGTCCGTCGTTCATCCGTCTGTAAACTTTTCACATTTTCAACTTCTCAAGAACCACCGTGCCAATTTTAACCAAAGTTGGTACAAAGCATCCTTGGGGGAAGGGGATTTTAAATTGTTAAAATGAAGGACCAAGTCCCCTTACAAGGGGAGATAATCGACAAAAGACATTTAAAAAAAAAATCTCCTCAAGAACCACTGAGCCAGAAAAGCTAAACTTATGTGAAAGCTTCGTGAGGTAGTGTACATTCTAAATTGTTCAAATCATGACCCCAGGGGGTAGGATGGGGCCACAATAGGGAATCAAAGTTTTACATTGAAATATATGGGGGGAATCTTGAAAAATCTTTTTTATTAAGAACCACTAGGCCAGAAAAGCTGAAACTTAAGTGGAAGCTTCCTTAGGTAGTGTAGATTATAAATTGTTCGAATCATGGCCTCCGGAGGAAGGGTGGGGCATCTAAAGAGAATCAAAGTTTTACATTGAAATATATGGGAAATATCTTTAAAATTCTTCTTCTCAAGAACCAATGGGTCAGAAAAGCTGAAACTTATGTGGAAGCTTTCTGTGATAGTGTAGATTCTAAATTCTTCAAATCATGACCCCTTGGGCATGCACAATAAGTATTACAAGGGGAAAATCTAATGAAGAACAGCAGGGCTAAAGTTACTCAGGTGAGCGTCGTGGCCCATGGGCCTCTTGTTATACTCCTTTTCGGAACATCTCAGAGCTGTAATTTTCATTGGGATCTTTTCCTATTCTGAATGATGTTTTTATAATACATGTAATAAAAAAAACATATATATAGAAAATCTGCATCAAAACCCATAACAACCCTCGACCAATATTAACCCTTTGACCTTCGGCCATCGGGCTAATATTTTAGTCTCTGGTTGATATGAGATGTTACACATTTTGCCATGTTTTATTCTCTATTGATTTCCTGAAATAAAGTACACAAATCTTTATTTTCCTGATTACGGTATATATGCAGAATTTATATACATATATAGATGTTTCATCTATACTTTTTTAAAAAATGGTTTAATTTTAATATAAATTATGGACATTTCATATATATCTTAACCCAACTTGCACTTATTTACTTTGTTACTAAAATTTTTCGGGAAAAAAAGTTCTTGATCAGCAGAAAAAATACGTTTTAACAGACTTCAACATTGTAAGGATGATATCTCCAAAATAGAGGAAGAAACCTACGACAATCGAAATTAGATTTTAGATGAGATAAAGGGAAACTACGTCAAATGATGTTATATTGATTTTCTAAACGTGGTCATTCAATTTCGACTTTAACTTGTGTCTTTCAGCATAGAATGGCAGAATCTTCTACAAATGAAGACACCGATCACAGCGTGGAGTATGATGAGATAAACGATGATAAAGATCATGATTATTTCAACGAATCTAAAAGCAGTCCGTCAGTCTTTCATCCTGAAATGGTTAAATCTTTTCAAAGCGATGATGCCGAAGAGGATGAGAATTATGAAATCATAGATGAGAACATAGATGAAAACACTGTATATGTAAATGAAACAAAGAAAAATACCACTTGTATGGTATACGCAGATTTGGTATTTGATGATGGATCACTCAGCTCTTGTCATCAAGCATTTTGTGTCTACGAAAGCAATGGGGACGCAGATGAAATCCTGATATCTCAAAAGGAACCAGTGTATGAAAACCAGTGCATTGAAGAGCACGTGATTCTTATATCAGACAAAGAAAATTCTGATTCTGATTCTGAAGGGAGCTCACATTCGTATATAGATGTAGATGAGGAGATCAAGATTCAAACTATGCAATGTCGTACCAATACTTTTGGAGAGGGTCCGTATGAAAGAGGATCTCCCCCAAGCACTACTAATAACAAAGGTAAAACAAAGCCAAAAACTTCAAAATTGACATGCACTGGCATGACAGTGTTGGATGACCATCGTGTTGTTATAGTAACCTCCGACGGAGAAATTATTGTTTTCGGGGTCACTGGTTCTTTTTTGTTTTTAAGAGATTTTCTGGAACATTTTGAGGATGTAACAACGATACCAGATTCAAGTATAGCTGTAACTTGTGGGTTCTGTATTCGTTTTTATAAAGTAAAGGAAAGCAATGTTTATGAACTAAAAGACAAATGCTTTGACTTTGAATGTAATGGATTTATGACTGTTCATGCTATACATTACAATCACAAAGAATTTGTTGTGACCTGCAATTTGCAATCCGTGAACCCAAGCCCTTTTATTCGAGTTATTGACAAAAAAGGAAAGATTACAAAGACAATCCAGATTCCCGGCCTAGTATCACCAGAGTATATAGCTTTTAGTCTTGATAAAAAACAGATTTTTGTAACAGATCCGAAGATGAAGACATTATTTGCACTTAGTAAAGACGGGAAAATTCGATGGAAGAAGGAAGAAGAAGAAATTCCCACATCACTAACAAATCTTCAAGAAGAGACTCTTGTTGTGTCATATCAAAGATCGCTTTCATTGAAACTGTATTCTTATCAGGGTATCTTACTGAAAGTAGTGCTTACAGAATTTGATGGGATACCTTTACCTATTCTTTTGTCATACCATACTCAATCGGAACTTTTACTTTTTTGTCCAACAGTACATGTTGTTGGAGAAAAGGATTTTATTTACTTTCTGAAGATGAAGAGTTCAAAGAAGAAGAATTTTGCTGCTATGTTTTCATTTCTGTAAAATTAATAATGCAATAAAAGATGAAAAAATTGATTTTTTTTTTTAAATTTTTAAACAATTGTCAAAAAATTGTGTTTGCATAACATCAGTATTGATGTATACATCTGTATGCAATACATGTATTTATTTCATATAAGGAAATTATCCACTTCCTAAAATAGATTTTTGTTAAGGAAGAAGGAAATTCCAATACTATCATTTCTACATCCTTAAAATTCGACGTGAATATGTTAAATAAGGAAACAAAGTACTTTAAGTGATGTATTTGAGTGACACTGATCCCAATCAGTCAATTCCGAAATCAATCGAAAATGAAATAACATTATTCAAAGAGATGAATTTCTAAGTAATGGCATAATTATAAATTGCGTACAAAAATCATTTCACACTTTGATATTTAATTTGAAGACCACACTTGTAATCATGGCTGACTACGTGAACACCACACATACAAATGAAAGTCGTTATAATATTGTGTACGCTGATTTAGTATTTGACAGAGGATGTTTACAATCATGTCATAAAGCATATTGTGTTTTCGAAGAAGGACCAATCTATACGTATTCACCAAATAACCACGCTAGCGCTGAATTTGGGGACAGCATAGAAGAAAGTTTGTTTGAAAAGCTTGAACTGGTAACGGATGGGGAAGATAGTGATTCATCTTCCGATACCCATTCGTACCTTGATATGGAACTAGAAAACGAACTTTACAACGCCAAATATCAATTTAGATCTAGTACGTTTGGAGATGGTCCTTATAGTAAAGTTGGAGAAGTCTGCCAACCACCAAAACCAGCAGAGAGAAAAGAGAGGAAGGCGTCACACACAAAGTTAAAGCTTTCATGCACTGGGATGGCTGCCTTGAATGATGGACGAATCGCCATCACAACAAGAGATGGAAAATTGCTAATCTTTGGATTAGAAGGAAGGTTTTTATTTCAGAAAGAGTTTCCCGATCGTTTTGAGGATATCACAACAGTTAATAAAACAGATGTAGCTGCAACATGTGGTTGCAGTATCAAAATATTTACCATCGCAAATACACAAGTTGTCGAACTTCCCGAAAAATGCATCAAATGTATTTTTCCAGGGCAAGCTTCCATACACGGCATACACTTTGCTGCAAATCAATTCTATATCTCGTGCAAACTTCAGACAGATTGCATTGTTCCTAAACCACTCATTCGAGTGTATGACTTGAAAGGAAGCTTACTTAAAACTTTTGAAATCCCACGATTAGCTTCGCCAAAATATGTTGTATGTAGTTCAGATGGGAAACACATTTTTTTAACAGATCAAAGGAATCGAACAATTGTGGCGCTGGATCAAGACGGGGCAATAAAATGGGAGGCAACTGACTTATCCATTCCGAAATCATTGACCATAGTTGGCAAAAACCGCATTGTAGTAGCTTCTGAAGAGTCGTCGTCTTTTAAGTGCTTCTCGTTTGGTGGAAAGATGATTCGTACCATTGAAACGGAAATGCCTAAATCTTGTTCTCCATTTTTGATCTTTTATCATGGTTCCTCTAACAAATTGTTGTTCTGCCCTGAGAAGCAGACGATCGGAGCACGAGATTCTGTATTTTCAATGAAACTGAAAAAATCTAAGCGGAAACGATTGTCGAGCCTCTTATTTCCTTTTGCGAAAGAATAAAATTTCATGTATTCATGTATTAGACAGACTAAGCATACACAGGAGCGAAACGAAGTCATCGTGTAAAGATGTTTTTAATGATAAAATTCATGCTTATTTATTTATTTATTTATTCATTCATTATTATTTTTTTTATTCTTTATTTATTTATTTTTTTTTTTTTTGGATTCAGTATTAAGATGAAACGATGAAACTTCAAAGACTATGATGCGAAAAGTGTTGTAAAGGCTTGTAAATAAATAGTGTTATAATACTAGTTAATAAACAACATGGATTTCCCTCCGTTTTAAGAGTTAATCCATTTTGTAATTTGGCAAAGATATATGTAATTATGAAGTTACAAAAAATTTCACATGACATGTATATCAAGTTAATGCGCTTTGCTGAATATTTCTAATTTCTATACTCTCTCTCTCTCTCTCTCTCTCTCTCTCTCTCTCTCTCTCTGTGTGTGTGTGGGGGGGGGTGTGGGTGTGTGTGTGTGAGGGTGTGTGTGTGTGTGATAAAAAAACATTGACCTTATAGTCGAGATAAAGCAAAATCTCTAGGAGAAAGAATTACCATTTAGTAGAAAGTTTTGTCTCAACAACTAGTTAAGTACATGTATATGTCAAATATTACAGCTTGTAAATTGATAATCAATAACTGAATGTGGATTCTAGTGACGACCGTGTTCAATATTTCTAGTTGTTTCCTGTTAAGGCTTCCCTGCAAAAACCACACTACAATAATTATCAATTATAACTGTTAATAGTAATTTCTTTTAATATCCATATAATTCTGTATATTTCTAGGGAAATTGGTAAGATGAAGGAATATCTATACAAAATATGTCGATTGTATGTTTATGTATATATGACACAAGAATTTAGATGATATGAAGCAATCATTTTGTAAAATGAAACTGGCAATCCAAAGGTGTAGATTTTCCATTGCTTCCGTACTGTGTTAAATGTGTAGTTTTTCCTTGAGGAACTTTGTGAATTCTTCAAAGTTAAAGTCTGCATCCCTGCCATGACAGACCGTTCTTTTACAGCAGGCTGGGTATTTAGCTTTTGGATTTTCTTTGATGTAACAAGCAAGGTCTGTCCCGTTGGCCGGAGGAGGGTCATCTCGACAACTACAAAAGTCGGTAAAAGTATTCGATAAAATATTGCAGAAGGTATTATTTTAAGCAGTACATGTATCATTTCTTTCTGGTGCACTATCTATTCAGCTTGTATAAATAATGTCACAGATTTATCCTTGTAAGATACTACTACATCAGTAAAACTCCATGCGAAACTATCAAGTCAACAAGTCAAATTATTATGTTAATGAGGGATTCTTGTCTAGTTTCTGACTAATTACATGTGAAATCTTAAGTATATTTGATTAAATATTAATGTTCTTTATATTGAGAGGTAAGATCGTTTTTCTTTCCCTCTTTCAACTGTACAATTGGACAAAGAAATGGTTCACTGAGTTTATAATCTAGCAGGGACTATATTTTTGGCGAAACAGCAAGATTTCCCAATCAAACTAAAATAATGTTAGCCTTTGTTAGCATTCAATCCGTACACAATTTTAAATGCAAAATAATTATAAAAAAAAAAAATTCTCTCTTATTTAATGGCATATATCTTTGTTTTTGTTTTTTGTTTAACTGTGTATCAGTATATGAAGTCTTCACCATATGTGGAAAAAAAACTAAATATAAGAAGCATAGAAAAAAATGATGAACTTTCCTTCAAATTAAAAATATATATATAGGAAATTCGGGTTAGCCAATACCTAGTTTATTTAATTTGGCGGTGTTACCCAACAGACCTAATATTTGGTACATGTATTACTTTTTAATGCGCAGTGATTGACAGATTTTAAATAAAAGTGGATAAAACAATGATATGTAACACTAATTTGTTACTCTTTGTATATTTCGAGGAAATACATGAGGTCCTTGACACGACCTTGCCACTAAAATAAGAGGGTAAATTTTATCTGAAATCATATCATCACTTTATGACATTGTTTTCTTGATTGTGCAATATATATATATATATATATATATATATATATATATATATATATATATATATATATGTATGTATATATATATATATATATATATATATATATATATATATATATATATATATATATATATATATATATATATATATATATATATTAGGGATGTCAAAATATGTATTTTCCTTAGTCGATCATTCGATTGCGTTATTCGAACGATAGTCGAATATTCGGAACATTTTCTGAAAATAAAATTGCCTTTCATACTTCATTGATACATACTCAGAAACCATTTTACTTAAATCTATTTAAAAAGTAACATCAAAATTAATGCAACGTAACGCGTGGATAGCATGATTCTATGAAATAAATTTAGAAACCTAATTCTCCAAAATTTATTATTTCCCCGTAAATATAATTTATAAATCGGCCTGTACATGCAGTCATTTTTTATTTAGTAAGCATTAAAAAATTGCCAGCCGATATTTTTTAAAGCTTATTATGAAATAAAATGGAGGGGGGGGGGTGCTATCAAAATGTCCTCAAACAGTTTAAAATGTAAGCGCATTGTTTTAATAATTATCGATGTATCAATTCCATTCAATTCTTTATTTTCCTTATGCCATATGGCACATCAGACAGTATGATACAATTAATATAAGCAAAATGTACAGTAATGCATGCTTATTTCAGTACACTTGCTATATTGTATATATACATGTACTTATAGAGACATACATATATAGAACTACTCAAATCTTTCTGTTATCATCTTCGCTAGCCAAGGGTTTCTGATACTTATGAGGAGAGTAGCGTATCAGAAACCCTTGGCTAGCGAAAATGTTCTGTTATATATATTAAATATTTACATACATACTATATGCTACAAACAGTTTCAGTTGTTATAATTTTCGTTGTGAAGCGCTGAACAAAAATCTTCCCAATTTAGACATTTCTTTGACATTTTGAACACTTAACAATTGTATCAGTTTAAAGACTCTAGGTTTTTTAACATAATACTCTTTGATATATTGTATTCTGAGATCATGAAATACAGGACATTTTAATATAAAATGGAATTCATCTTCTACATCATTCAAGTCACATAATAAACATATTCTGTTATTTCTATTTTCATTTACATATCGATGTATCAAAACAGGTTTATTCCTTGCATTTGAGCAAACTTAAAATAACAAAAGATAATTGGTACATGGTATAAGATCAAGTCCAATTAATAATTTTACAAACAAAGCCCATTATATTGGTTGGTAATTTATTACAAAAACAACACAGGAGTTACTGACAATTAATTCTCGCAGTAGTGAAGCACTTATAAATGCTGTACTTTCTATACGTACATGGAAAATCTACCTTTTTTTGTTGAGGAAAATTATCGACTGTCTATGAGAAAAGACTGTTTCTCATTTTTTTGATGAGAATTCCATCTCATCTATTACTCATTTATTGCATTTATTTAGTTAAAATAATATTCGAATGTCGTTTCATTATTCGATCGTCGGTCCATTCGACTGATAGTAGAATAGTCGACTATTCTTTGACATCCCTAATATATATATATATATATATATATATATATATATATATATATATATATATATATATATATATATATATATATATATATATATGATATTAAAATGAGAAGTGGAAATTGAAATACTCGAAGCATACAAAATTAATCTTTGATACGTACAAATATCTTTAACACAAAAAAGATTCCTCGAAATAATTTATAGATAGATATTCTTTACCCCTTCCCTTTCCCCCTTTCAAAGAGATTTCTGTGGATATTTTCGCACAATTTCGTACGAATAAGTCAAAACCTTCCTCTTTCTTCAATGCGTATCAAAATTAAACTAGGTCACAAAAACTGCACTGTGAATTATCTTTTATATCTTTATAAAACAAAAGAATGACAGGGGTATCAAGGTTTTAACTAGTCGTAAAATGTTTTTGAATTAAATCTTCTGGCCTGTCAGACTTATCGATAACAGTGAAACCCGTCCGCTAAACAGATACATTGGGAACAACCATCATGAAAGGCGTCCTCTTGCTTAAACTGTATTCCTCTGAAGTAGCATGGATCTGAAAACAAATCAATTCAATGAGAAAGTAAGGATAACGAACAGTGATCGATCTAAAAAAAAATATTTAAACCATACTAATCTGTGAACAGGCCATAAAATACGGATCTCTGGAAATTCCAGAGGTGGGATCAGGTAACTAGGAGGAGTAAGCATCCCCTGTTAACCGGTCACATCCACTGTGAGCCCTGTGTATTGATCAGGTAGACGGAACATTCCGTAGTCAAAATTCAGTATAAAAACAAAGTATGAAACTGCTGCTTAGTTTTTTTTTTCTTTTAATGAAAAGAAAATCAAACTTTTTAATGTAACACGATTGATATGAAAAAACATCTCTTCTGAATACTTTCACATCTCTTTTCACTTTAAATCATTTATTACTCAATGGTAGAAAATAATTATCGACAATAATTATATTCATAGACCTACAATGTACTTCATTATATGAATTCATAATATGAGTTTAAGTCAGTAATATTCTGTCTTGTTTTGTGATGTGAATTACCTAGTTATCTACACATGTTAAATTCCAGTTTTAAATAGTACAGTAGCCTATGTACATTGTATTTACAGAAATGATTTTTACCACAAGTTGGAATGTTGCAATACCCCCAGTAGTCGTCAGATGTGTGGTTCCGTTTTGTATAACACCACGGTTTGGTGCCGCTACCTAGGGGATTTCTACAGTAATTTTTCTCTAAACCTTCATCCGGGTATTGTTTTGGAGTGACGTCATAATCATGGCTGTTCCAGTCAAGACATGTTTCTGCTTTGTTTGTCTGTGAAACTTTTCCTCTGTAGTATCTCCCTTTATCAATAACGGAAACACACTTGTCTGCGAATGCGAAAAGAGTGATTTGAAAAAGAACACGAATTATTAGAAGTATTACTTATTTTTGTTTTTCATTTAAGTGTCTGACCCCCCCCCCCCAATAGATTTGATAATAATAATTATTAATTAATAATATAAATTACTTAAAAAGTATAACTAAAGCATTTTTTAATGGAGCATTAGACTTTAGAAATAATATAATGTCGTTTATTTAGACTTAGTATATAAGTAACACGATATACTTATGTATCATTATTATGCTTCCTGTCAGTTTGTCTCTATATAATCAATACCCAACTATTTTCGCATAGTGTTCTAAGGATTTATATAGCGTAAGCATACTATGCCGAAATAGTGCACGGCTGTCTTTTCTAGAGAAAATGTAATAAGCACCCACGCTGGGGATCGAACTCACGATCTGGAGGACGTCAGTCCAACGCGTTACCGATTACGCCACAAACACCGCTACTTTACGGAATGTATTTTCAAGTATATAAACGTAGTTTTTATACATTTGTCACAAAACAAGAAATAAATGAATATAATTTCTAAAAGACTAATATTATTGATAAGGATCTTAAAGAAAAATTCTCTAACAAATAATGGAATTTATCAGTAACCAAAATTGCAACGTAACATGAACTGGTTCTTCGGAGTCAATAAAACGCTTTTTGATATAACGCTTGATTAAAGAATGTTCAAGAAAATTTTCATTTAGATTTAACGTCCGCAAACAGGTTTGGGATTGAGAATTTAATTAAATTGTCGTATACAAACAACAGTCAGCATAATAATTATAATAGTGTTATTATTTGGATGTACTATGCCGAAATAGTAGTCAGGGTTTGACACATAGTGCACTCGCCTCCGGCTCGTGCACCATGTGTCAAACCCTGACTACTATTTCGGCATAGTACATCCAAATAATAACACTATTATATAATTAATGATTAAGTACAAAGTAAGTGAATTATCTGAAGTTTAGCAAAGTTAAGTATCAATATGTTACCTGTGAATATACATTGTTCCTGAGAAAAGTACACACAAAGTAAAGTCAAATATGTATTAAAAAGAACCATGTATGTTTCCATTGTAAAATACTTCTTCTGCGACAAGTATCTGAAAAGTCTATCAAATTCTTATCGTCCATGTTTGACGAAGTGCAGCAGGTGTTATATGGGCAGGTGGAACTGAGAATTCAAGCTGAATTGTTAACTGAACTACGTAATGTTGTAATGCTTATCTATATTTCATGATACGATGGGATGGAAAATATTCATTCAGAATGTTTAATTTAAAGTTAATAAATAAACCTTATTTCGTATTTTTATTCTTGGTCAAAGTTATAATAGTGATTCTGATAAATGCTAAGTTAAAAAAAAACCTTTATATTCAATGAGGAAAAAAAGAGAAAAAAATAAATATTAGGATTATGAAATCGCACTTTGATGACTTTAATAATTTATAGATGGATTAAACAATTTGTAACCTTACAGACTCTCTATAAACTTTTGAAAATGTTTTTCGGACATTAAAAAATTATATTGTTTAAAGTTATAAATATTGAGTTATCTATATTTCATTTTCAACATCGGGAGCCAATTACACCCAGGAAAGATGTTCAAAGACAACAAAGTGTATTGATGAAGAGAAATTACATACTCTTGCTTACTTAACATTGGAAAAAACTTGCATATCATGTGTTCAATTAATTTATATTTGGCCTGATAAAATGTAATGAATGGTTGAATGAAATACAAATTGAGTAATACACTAGAGATTTAAATTTATTTTATTATAGATCTAAGGCAGATTACTCTGACTGCATAAAAATACCATGGAATTGGAACTCTTAAGTATACAGTGTAAATAGGATCATTAAGCAAAACATCATTTAAACAGATAAATTTGAGTATCAGTTGAATTTAAGTTATCCGTTGAAACAACCTTTACCTGTTCGTCTTTGGGTCTCACATTTGGTCATCGAGGTATGATAATAAATAAGTAAGCACTAAGAATATCTTATATAATATGCCCTCACCCGACCTTAGATATGTAGGTAACAGAATATTTCATTGTTCCTAAAAACAAGAAAAGAAGAGAAACGTTTCCTCTTAAAATAACAGGTGTTGAAATGTGATTTCTAGCTTATATTCATGATGTTATATCTTATAATATTCAATTACAATGATTTCTTCTATTTACTACAGGTTTGACAGGTTAAGAAGATTTTGGACTTCAGATATTTTCAATAACCATGAATTTTAGGAAAGGAGAGCAATTTGAGTCGGGTGATTTTTTAAGCGGTCAGATGTTTTTCGTTGTAGCCTAATCATTTTTTTTGTAATTCATTTTTGATACGGATAAAGTATTTTCCGTAATTTTTTTTTTTAGAGAGAGAGTTTACATAAACACGTATTCCTCCAATGCTCCCAGGTTTTTCTGGTTTTTATCCTTATAAGCAATATACTTATTTGTGTAATACATATTCTCGATGGATGATATCAACACGTAAAGAGAATTTTGCCACTACATAAAATATTTCAATTTTAGAACAATGATATATTTAATTTTGTCTGATTTTTCAAATGATCCAAGTATGAATTCCTTCTTTGAAAATACAACATCAGCATGCATCTATGCCAAATGATTTTTTTTCTTTTTACTATAGATTTTATTGCACGTTTGGAAGATTTAGGATCTAGGAAGGGAGAAAAATTCGAGTCGGTTGATTTTTTTCTTTCTTTCAAATAGGTCTCGGTTTGAGGAATGGGACAAACATTCAAAAACAGTCTTCCATTGTACATGAAGCCTAATCACGAATCTTTGTTTTCTAACATGCTCGTGAAATACAATGATTTTTTTCTATTTACTATAGATTTTACTGCACGTACAGAAGATTCTTTTAATATCTATGTATTTGCATTATGTTAAATTTGTTCCCAATTTAAGCCAACTCTAACCCAAGATCCATAACTTGAAAAAAGATAGGAATTCACACAACTTGTAATTGTAAATTTATGGTTCTATTGTAGCTCTGAGGAAAATTTTCAAAAAAAATTCCTATATACATGAAGCATAATGTAAATCTTTGATTCCCTATTGTGGCCCTATCCTACTCCACCTTACCGGGAACCATGATTTGAACAATTAAAAATGTGCATTATACAAGGAAGCTCTCATGTATGTTTCATTTTTTTCTGTTCCAGTGATTCTTGAGAAGAGGGTTTTTAAAAGACTTTCTCCTAAATATTTCAATGTAAAAAAGATCTCCTTTTGTTGTCCCACCCCATCCTCAGGGGATGAACAATTTAGAAACTACGCTATCTCAAGAAGCTTTCACATAAGATTCATATTTTCTGGTCAAGTGGTTCTTGAGAAGAAGATTTTTAATTTTTTTCCTACATACATGTATTTCAATGTACAATTTTGTTCCCTATTGTGACCCCACCTACCCCCAGGGTCCATGATATGAAAAATTTAGACTTTACACTACCTCAGGAAGCTTTCATATAAGATTCTTTTTTTCTGGTCTAGTGGTTCTTGAGAAGATTTTTAAAGATTTTTCCTTATATATTTTTCAAAGTAAAATTTTGATCCTCTATTGTGGCCCAACCGTACCCCAAGGGACCATGATTCAAACAATATAGAATCACTTCCCCTGTAAGCTTTCACCTAAGATTCATCTTTTCTGGTCCAGTGGTTCTTGAGAAGATTTTAAACATTTTTTTCTATAAATACGTATATTTCAATGTACAACGTTGTTCCTATTGTGGCCCCACTCTAACCCAAGGAGCCATGATTTGGACAATTTAGAACTTACACTACCTCATCTTCATCTATCTGTCCCAGTGGTTCTTGAGATGATTTTTTTAATGACCCCACCCTATTTTTGCCTTTTCTAAATTTGAAGGGGACTTGGTCCTTCATTTGAACAATTTAGAATTCCTTTTACTTGAGGATTTATATGCTTTGTGGCAGCTTTGGTTAAAAGTGGTTCTTGAGCAGAAGTCAAAATGTGAAAATCTTACAGACTGACGGATAGACAGACAGACGGACAAACGGACGCTGGACAACGGGTGATCAGAACAGCTCACTCGAGCTTTCAGCTCATGTGAGTTTAAAAACGACAAAAAATTCTAACCATAACTACTACGATGTATCTATTGACAGTTGTCAAACCTAGGAGTGAACTCCTCTGTAAAACAGAAGTCGGATAATATTAGTTACATAGTTTTGTAGTGACAGGGTACGGGATGATACCTGGTTAGTAAATTTCATACCTGGCGAGGCGAAGCCGAGCCAGGTATGAAATTTACTAACCAGGTATCATCCCGTACCCTGTCACTAAAAAACTATGTAACGAATTTACCCCACCGATAAAATATTTATGCATTGTCTGTGGTTTGTAGAATTGTTTTCCTCACTCTATATATGGCTCTAAATTCGCTCTTGAGTACATCTGGGAGGGCAAATAAAGAATTCTGTAGACACGTTTTTTTCTTAGATTTCTTTATGTGTATCTGAAGTTTTGACTCTAAATAGGACAAAAAAATGTTTGAATAGATAATCAAGTCAAAAATAAATATTTTATTAATGTTTGAAATATGTGTCACGTAACACATGACAGGCATATAACGTAACATGACAGACGTATGATAAAACTTGACATGATTAAATTACATTTCTGATGCTTAGCAATACAAATAATCTGTAAAAAATAAAATTAAACAATTCCTTAAACAATGCAAAAAAATTTTCACTCTTACGTAGAAGAAAAAAGATTTTTAAGCTACTTTTGATGCACAAACTGATGATCGTAACACTGACAGACTCCTTTACTTAGCCAGCCAAATAAATCATAAACTTTCATTATCTTATCAAAAAGATAATGTTGCCGTAAGAAATGGACATTATTCAAATTTTGATTCCTTATAGATTTTAAATTTGAATTTTTAAAAAATAAATCTCTGCCATACGCTTTGTAACATACAAAATTTCCACCATGTCTGTCATGTTACCGTAACGATATTTCTTGAGCAATACTTGTTTGAAATGAGTCAATAAAATTTATCATTCAAAGCTTATCTTTTATTCTTGGAAATTATAATACACAAGACATTATTATTTATGAAAATACTAATGAAATTTAAAAAAATAAATTATTTCATATAGATCAAACCTTTATCGTAACATGTACGGATGCACGTAACCCTGACAGACTCGTTTTTAAAACTGCAAGAAAACAACTACAAAATTGTATTGTTTAAGTTATAAAGACAAATTTTGCCTTATGATACACTAATATTCTTAAATAAAAATACTTTTTCGTTTAATTCACTGAACGTATAAATCTGAATGCACCCGTTTGTTTCACGTAACATGGACAGACATTCGTTTTGTCTGTCACCGTTACGATAGTATTCAGGCAATGTCTGTCAATCGGTGCGTTATGTAAGAAATGTCAAATTTTAAGTGTTTATGTAGTGATGAAGAGCGTGTAAGTTCATATTTAAAAAAAAATCCAAAATACACCTACCAGCTGACAATATTTGATGATATGTGTTTAAAATCTAGGATAAAGACAACTTATATTTTCATGAACGTAACATACTTTGTGTAACGTAACACTTGACAGACAAACGTTCGTGGCTTCTCGGGCTCTCTCTGTAGCTCTTTTTATCGAAATGTAAACACATTTGCATAGAACACTGGAGAAAAATTAAATATTCATAACCTTTAAGTCAAATGTATAAGAAGAAGCATCTCCGAGCTCCATTCTTAAAATAGAACGTAACGCCCACTTGCCATGACAGACACAGGAAGCATCCCACAGATTTGTTAATTTCTAAGCACACGTGCTTTTCTGTTGAATCTGCGATCACTTAATTGATAAACAGGTAAATTTTCTATCAGTAGACAAGAAAGATAAAATAGTTTGCATAAACAATGGCCCATTTTATAACAATGTACCCGGTGTATTGAGTCTGACAGACGTTACGTTCAAAATATGAGAAGAAATAAATTCCTATTTTTCTTTTATTTTAGACATAATGTGCATTAAAATACCTTTGTATGTTAATTTTATCCTTCCTAAACAGTGTAGTGAATGAAGATATTCTGTGTACAAGGTATTATCGCCGTATATT